ATATTGATAGTTACGTTAATAGATCAACAGTGTCGTGATGGAAGTAGTTATGTTTATAAATCAACACTGTCGTGATATGGATAGTTATGCTGATAAATCGACAGTATTCTGATGGGATAGTTAAATTAATAGATCAGCATTGTCGTAATAGGGATAGTTACATTAATAGATCAACATTGTCGTAATGGGGATAGTTACATTAAAGATCAATAGCATCGTGATGGGGATAGTTGAATTAATATATCAACAGTGTTGCGATAGAAGTAGTTATGTTTATAAATCAACAGTATCGTGATAGGGATAGTTATGTTAATAAATCAACAGTGTCGTGATAGGGATAGTTATGTTAATAAATCAACAGTGTTGTGATAGGGATAGATATCTTTAACTATCAACAGTGTCGTGATAGGGATAGCTATCTTTAAATATTAACAGTGTCATGATAGGGATAGATATCTTTAAATATCAACAGTGTCGTGATAGGGATAGTTATGTTAATAAATCAACAGTGTTGTGATAGGGATAGATATCTTTAAATATCAACAGTGTCGTGATAGGGATAGCTATCTTTAAATATTAACAGTGTCATGATAGGGATAGCTATCTTTAAATATCAACAGTGTCGTGATAGGGATAGGATATTTTTAAATATTAACAGTGTCGTGATATGGATATTACTATGTTAATAGATCAACGATAAACGGATTTATAAATGTACTGAAATTTAAAATAATTGTTTTTGAGACAAGACATTTATGTCGTCTAAATAACAGCTGAAGATCACGGTGAATTCATGTTAGAGTTAATTATTGATTTGAATGTCAGACAATGAAACTACCTAGAATTTATTAAAGAGGTGCTTTTCGTATACTGTTTATTTTAATTTTTAAACGAACACACTACAGGATACTTGCTAGATTTAATAAAGTACAAAAAACATATTTTTTTAAAAATTTGTACACAAGTACAGTGATCAACATTTTATTCGTTCAAAAATGAAAATCAAATTTACCCATAGTTTTTTTTACACAATCAACTAGAAAATATCGTTAACTTAATAAATATGATATTTGTTGTAATTAGTATCATGGATAGTTTGAAGTATCATGTAGTAATTAGTATCATGGATAGTTTGAAGTATCATGTAGTAATTAGTATCATGGATAGTTTGAAGTATCATGTAGTAATTAGT